CCTGAGCATAATGAAGCATCACAAAGCCAAGGACAGCTTCTCCCTTTTTTCAGGCCCTGATTTACTGAAAAGATTTGGTGTTGGCAACCAAGCCATCAGTTTCCTCTCTTATGCCTTTGGATATACTGGATAAGTACCTTCCATTTGCCAGGAACAAGGCATTTTTCAGTTATTTGCAAGTAAAAACAGCAAAATCTCCTTTTAATCCTGCCACTTGCTTATTTATTTACTTATTTTAGTGTGGAAGATGGAACCAAGGGCCTCAAGCATCTTAAGTTATTTGAGCTATTCCCTTAAGATCTAGTCTACTCCCTTGAGATCTAGTCTGAACTTACTGTAGGATTTTTTAAACGTTTAGCTCATCTTTACCAAGATAAATAAAAAGGTAGATAGATGATAGATGATAGATAGACAGACAGACAGACAGACAGACAGACAGACAGACAGACAGACAGACAGACAGACAGACAGATAGATAGATAGATAGATAGATAGATAGATAGATAGATAGATAGATAGCTTTCAAAAAGCAGTTCTGTAATGCTTTCAAATCAGCCATTTGTTCTAGTGTAGCACTTAGGAGGGAAACTGTATGAATTAGCAAAATGGTAGTCAAGTAGCATGGAGAGTTCAAAAGATGGTTGGGAAGGGGACATTATTTCTCTGCTTCAGAGATGAGAAAACAGATCTACTATGGGGAAGCAAGCAGCACAAATGCCCTCAGCTAGGAGGTGGCAAAGCCAAGATTCCAAAACAATGAACTGCCCCAACAACAAGCTGCTTTTGAGGTACAAAAAGGAATAGGATATAGGTCTGCTGCTTTCAGATCTCATACACTCTGGAGGAAAATGCAATGAATAACTAGAAAACAATAAGATGAATGTGAGACTAGCTTATGAGTAGAGTATGATGTGAATATAGGCTTGTAAATTCTCCCAGGCAGCTCTATGTGAACGGCAAGCAGAGAGGAAGAATAGGAATGACAAAGTGAAAATAGTGATAAATGCTCACTGATGGAGCAATGGACCCTTCACTGCCATTGCATTCTAAATGAGTTGTTTACATTTAGAATAAATACTTTTTTAAGTTTATAGGAAGTTGGTTATTTTAAGCCTCATTTATAGATTGTAAAAGTAGTAAGTTTAAGCTTTATCCATTTAAAATTAAGTGGTTCAAGGTATTTTGTATAAGAAAGGGGGAAGGATATATATAGAGAGAGAGAAAAACAAAACTAAGCCCTATAAAGTAGTTTGTATATGCATATCTGTATGCATACTACTTCTGCATAAAGAAATAATGGAAAAATAAATGAGAAATATCTGGGATAGGAATGTTGTAAAGAGGTCAAAAGGATAGAAGACATATCTTTTTAGAAAGATTTTCCTTGTAATCCTTCTAGATATTTTACACAGAAGGAACACATGCAAATTCTAAAATTAAAACCAGACTGAAACAAGTTATCCAAATTTGGCAAGTTGGAAAGATAAGTCAGAGACAAGAGCCTTGAATTTTTTTCTTGTTTTATCAGTCTTGTGGCTTGAACTCTGGGCCTGGGTGCTGTTCCTCTGCTCTTCAGCTCAAGGCTAGCACTCTACCACTTCAACCACAGTGCTACTTCCGGGTTTCTGGTGGTTTATTGGAAGTAAGAGCCTCACAAACTTTTCTGCCTGGGCTGGCTTTAAACTGTGGTCCTCAGATCTCAGCCTCCTGAGTAGCTAGGATTACAGGTGTGAGCCACTGGTGCCTGGCTTGAATTAATTTTTGAACACAGTACTATGATCATACATCTAGGCACTCTATATTGTAAGAATAAAATTTGAGCTAGAGGAGTAGTTCAAGGGCAGGGCAGGGAAGGGAAGGGCATGACAGGGAAGGAAAGGGAAGGGAAAAAATTTCTGACACACAGTACAATGAGGATGAACCTTCAGGACATCATGCTAACTGAAATAAGCCAGCAACAAAAGGTAAACACTATTATTCTACTCATATAGATACTTATACTGGTCATACTCATAGAAACAGAAAGCCAGAGTGGTGGTCTATGCCTGAAATATATCTTTATATTGTTCAACCACACACACACACACACACACACACATTAAATTGAACTACATGAAATTGTTCCCATTAAGCCATTTTCTATTATACTTTCACATAGTTCAATAAATCAATAAAGTATAACAAATACTAACATGTTTCAATTTGGTGACAGATGAATGTTATTGGCTATTTTCCTATTCTTTCAACTTTTCGAATTATTTGGAAAGCTTATGAACACAATTTTGAAAAAAAATTAAGTGAAATAAGAAGAAACACAAAGCACTGGCTTTGTCCTTAGCATTGGCCTTTGAGATTTCTCTAAGAGACCTGGAATTGAGAATCACTGAGCTTCAAACCTCCTCTTCTCTGCTTCTGGTGTTGCTGATGAGAAATTCACTGCCAGCGTGATTCTTATATCTTGTATCTTGTGATTTCCCCATCCTGGAAATGCTTTCCAGATCTCTATAGAACTTGTTCTGAAACCTCCAAACAATGTTCAGCCTTTTCCATTTCACTAATAAATTTTTAGGATGTCTTTTAAAATCAAAGGCTCCCTTCTTTAGTTACTCCTAGGCACATGTCCTTTTACTCAGTTTTCTCTATTCTTTCACAAATTGCTATTCAACTCTCATTGGAGCCTTCTGTTTCTTCCTCTGTAGGATCCATGAGATTTTTGGTTTTGAGACAGGGCTTACTATGTAGCTCAGCTGGCCTTTAGGTTATTACATATCCTAGACTGGCTTGGAATCCCAGAGATTTGCCCTTGCTATGCAGCCAACCCTACAACTTTAGCTACACCTCTGGTCATCTTTGCTTTTGTTGTTTTAGAATAGGGTCTCCTTTTGTTGCTGGCTGGACGATGATCCTCCTATTTCTAATTCTCCCATCACTAACAGGTTGGTGCTACTCTATTAGTTGAGATAGACTGGTCTTGAAATGTAGCCTCCAGATCTCTGCCTCTTGAATAGGTCAAATATGGACATGAGCCACCATAACCAGCTCCAGTATTTCCTTCCCACTTCCACCTCTCATGTAGCAGTTTGGGTCTCTCTGTGTCACTGCAAATTAATTCACTATCTGGAATAAGTGAGCAAGTACTCTTTATGTCCAAAGGTTGGCATACAGGCCTGTGAACTTGGAAGAAGAACAAAGCTTTCTGGTATATACCAGCTGTCAGACAGCTCTGAACAATCTACCCCTCCTGTTCCTGAGAAGTTACATATTACTAAAGTATTTCCAAAATGAAGTTCATTTTAATTTCTCAACAATAATGATACAAATGAAGTGGCAGTGCAACAAATATGAAAAAAATCTTTTGATACTACAATATTGACACTTGTGATATTTTTTTCCATCTGTAACCTCACTAGCAGGCTGACATCCTGATAAACTCTAAAAAGAAAACTAAAAGGCAGGATGGGTGTGGTGGTTAGGGAGGTCATATGGGAAATAAAGGAAAATGCAGCTACTCAAGCGGGTGCTCATTAATTACCAGGTCAAGGGATCTTAACCTGATTCATCATCAGGTCAATGGTACTACGTGGTACCTGTGGCAAACTTCCAAAGAAGGAGCTCCACCCTTTAGGTTCTTTTATTTAGCCTTTGTTTCCCAGCAAAGCAGGTTGCAAAACTACTTCTAACGTTCCAGCAATCAGCAGAAAGCTTCTTTCCTTTGGGAAGAGCTTGTAGAAGTGTTGCTTTTCTTCTGAAGTTTCTGCTACTGGCAAAGATTTGCAAAGACTGTGAAGGTAGAGTGCAGAAAATATGGTATTTCAATGTAAGTCCACCCAATCCAAATTCTTTGTCTGTAAAGTGTGATAAAGATTGAAAAACCAAACAACTATACTCCTAATTACTCAAGAGGCTGATATCCCAGGATGGCTGTTCAAAGCCAGCCTGGGCAGAAAAATTCATGAGACTCTAATCTCCAGTCATCAAGCAAAAAGCCTGAAGTGGAGCTGTTGCTCAAGTGGTAGATAACCAACCTTAAGCAAAAAACCTAAAGGCCTTGATTTCAAACCATTGTACTGGTACAAGCACACACAGGTGTGCACACACATGAAGACACACACACATACACACACAAAATATCAAACGAAAGTGATCCTAAATTTCTGAAAATTCTTTCTTTTCTGTCTGTCTTTAACAATTTCTTCCAGGTAAAAACACTTAAACTACAAGGTGCTGGTGCTTCTAATCCTAGCTATTCAGGATATCTGAAGATTGTGGTTGGAAGCCAGTCTAGACAAGAAAAGTCTGTGAGATTCTTATCTCCAATTAACTACCAAAATGCTGCAAGTGGCACTGTTGCTCAAGTGGCAGAGCACTAGCCTTGAGCTAAAAAGATCAGGAACAGTGCCCAAGACCTGAGTTCAAGCTCCAGGACCTCCCTCTAAAAAGACCCCCATGAACTATTCTACTTGTCCCTTAAGTACCTGAAATTAAGTCACACATTTTCTTATTAACATACTATGGTTACACTTGAAAATATACATGCACCACTTTCCAACTTCAGCCAGTTTGGTCCAGGAACACAATGAAGATCTGATGCTGGGTAGTGGTCCAAAGAGCACCTATATCCATTTTTCAGCAGGTGCTTTCAGGAGATAACACTTGGCTTTCTAAAACATTTACTACTTTCTTAGAACAATGATGGCCAGGTCTTCATTTGGCATAACATCTAAGCAATCAGATTTTTGTTATATCTCTACTGCAGAATTAACTCATACAATTTTGCCAAGTCTAGGCATGTGGATTCATTTCATTGCACTAAAAAAAGACGTAAGATATCACCCAACTCTGGCCAAACTTCTTCTGGAATGTCTTATGAGATTACTGTTTCCAGGTAGTTTGGTGGACTACTACTGCTCATCATTAACTAGACAGGCCAACTATTTTGTCTGGATAGGCATCAAATGTTTATGTAAGTGTGACTTAAAAATTACAATACAGTACTGTGCTACCAAGTTATCTTTACTCCAGTCCTGATTATTTATTATTTGGGGTTTCTATATTTCTACTTCAAGTTAGAGACTGCCAGTGTGGTGTTCAACATGCATCACCCTCACAGGTTATGTCTTATCATCTTTCCCAGCCACAAGACAGGCCAAGCCTTATCTGCTTTTGCTTAGATTTTATTGTAGCAAATAGTATTAAGCCAAGATAACAAAAGGAGATGCTCAGGATAAATAAATTCTTCCTAATGAATCAAAGTATGTGCATGGTACTTCCTCCCTAACATACTGAGCAGTTCTATGAAACTGGTCATAGGACAATGGGAGTAGTCAATGTCTTCATGTGGGTAAAGGTGTGGAAAGACCCAGGAAGATTCTTGAGCTAGATGACAAGCTTCTCCACACTAAGTGTGCTCGTGGTTTCATCCTCTTCATTCGAGCCAAAATACCCTGGGAGGTCCAGCATCCTCTGCTCAGCCTCTGTGAGGCCAAATGATGTATTGTCATAGAAGGCAAACTCTGGTTGGGCTGGGAAACTTTGACATTTGTCTTTCCTGAATTGAGAAGGGCTCAGTGGACTGACCCTCTGGTAGATGTCTTGCGGGGAAGATGGGGATGACTGCTTCCTTGAAACACTCCTGTGACTGGGGGATGGTCCCCTTCGAGCTCTGTGAGGATCTGTTCTCTCAATTCCTGTCACTAATCCTGCCTGGCGATCCCCAGAATCTGGTTTCCTCATGGGCTGCCCCACAGTGTAGGATTTAGAGATTGGGTTTAGGAGACCACTGGTCCCACCTGCCCCTTGGAAATGCTCCCCTTTCTCAGAAAGCAGATGGGTGCCTCGACCTGAAGACCTACCCCTGTCGTCTGCCTGGTCCCAGGTTCTTGTCCTGGAGTTGTAGCCAGGGACCTGTCGTGGAGTCAAAGTGGACATACTCCTCTCCCGGAATGGTCGTGCCTGCTTGGTTTCATGAAAACTAGCTGTCCTCCGGAAGTGGGAATTCCTAGGGTGGCTCCTTTCCGAGGAGCCCCCTCTGCCACCAGTGTGCCTCATCTGGGACTTGCGGATCAAGGTCTGGCTGGGGCTAATGGCACAGCTGGCCGGGGACACACTGAAATCCAGCCTGGAGGGAGGTCTTTCCCCAGCACTCACCCCAGGCTGATCCAGAAATGGAGATTTGATCCTGAACTTGTTGGCTGCTTCTTCTGGGCTTTCTAAGTCTAGCGGGGGGCTGGTGGCAGCATCAATGGCAGTGTCTGTGAGGGGACTCTGAGACACGTGATATACTTTGGTGGTTTCTGTCAGACCTTTCTTCTTCATCTCCTTCAACTGCTGCTGGGCAAGGCGATAGCTAAAGAGAGGGGGGATGATCTTCTGGGCATTGGACTGAAAGCTCTCGCTGCCAGAAGCATCATCCTCAGGAGACCCCTGTCCACTGCGCCTGTAGGTCAGAGGGATGCCCAGGTCTCCTGGGCTACCCCCAGGCCCATCGCCCCCATCTGAGAAGCTCCCCCGCTGCTCACTCAGCTCGCAGATGTTCTCTTCATCCGAGTTCTTCCGGAAGCCAGGGGAATGGATAGAGTTGTGTCGAGCAGGGGTGCTGCATTTGGGGGGCCGGCCGAACCTCCTCCAAAGTGTGATGAGCACTGTGGCAATGATGATGAACAAACACAGAGAAATCCCAGTCACAGTCACTATGTTGTTGGACTTCACTGGATCCTTGGGCGGAAGAGAAGATGGATTGGATGGCCGGAGAGCTACATAGAGATGGAAAAGAAAGTTATTCTCTTGTGTTAATTTCTCTACATGGTATTTATTCATTCATTCATTCATTCATCAGTCATGGGACTTGAACTCAGGGCCTGGACACTATCCCTGAGTTTTCTGGCTCAAGACTAGTGCTCTACCACTTTAAGCCACAGTACTGCCTCTTGTTTTCTCACCAGAAATTGGACATAAGAGTCTCGTAGACTTTCCTGCCTGGGCTGGCTTTGAGCCACAATCCTCAAATCTCATCTTCTGAATAGCTAGGATCACAGGCATGAGCCACTAGTGCCAAGATTCTGCATGGCTTGTTCTGATTATCAAAGCAGTTAAAGAAAGAAGGAAAGAAACAGGGGCTGGGAGTTCGGCTCTGGCAAATGGATCTCCAATGACAAAATCACCAGGAAAGAGGAAAATCAGGGACCAGAGAAGGGAGGTAGGTGGCCAGAAAAGCTACAGAAAGACCCCTGTGCTTACCAGTTCCTGCTGAGACTTCTTCCCTGTTTTCTGCATTGAAGCAAGGGGTAGAAAACATCAAGGCTTTTCGCCTCGATAATGGATACATCATGGATTCCTGTAGTAAATGTACCTGTGAGACACACAGAGGCAATTCCTACCCAGTAGAAAACTCAAAGCACAAAATGATTTAGGTAGCTTGTGCCTACCTAAACAAGAAACATTGAGGAAAGAAGACTGTTTTATCAAACTGTCATCTGACTAGCAAAGCCTCTCCTTTCTCTCCTGGTTTTCGGCTGTCCACTCCCTTCTTACCCTCAGCATTGGTCTTCTTCATCTTCCTCACTCTCTCAAATTGATTTGTCCCACAGTCCTTAAAACTTCATCAAGACACTGATGTCACCCCTCCAGCCTCTACTTATACTGCTTTGGAAACTTCTGGAAAACTGAGACCAACTATTGCCATCTGACCTCACCTTTTTCTCCCTTGGTCCCTGCATCATTCAAGCCCTTCTAAACACCTGTCTTCTTTCCCATAGTCCTATGCCCATTGGCTCTTGGCCTCATCTCCTCTACTCACTCCCTGCCTGCCCCTCTTGGGCCTTTCCACTGTACTCTATTCTCAGAGGACATTTGCTGAGAGTCCTCATTATCCCTGTCCTTCCCACAAAGCCTATCCTTCGCCTTTTTGGCGAACATGAGGCCTTCCTATCCAATTAAACAGCTTCTTCCAAGCTCCTGAGGTAGGAGCTGTTGCATGTACTTCTCTATAAGGAAACAGGGTTAGCAACACAGTATGTTCTTCATCTCATTCCTGACTACAATGTTCAGCCAGTATTCCTTCACTGTTACATGAATCTTTTGTTCCTTTGATACCTGTGCCAGCCACCTAGATACCCTTCACCTCCCTTTCCCAAAATACCATCATCTCCTAACTCCCTCACAGCCATCTGTCACAATGGAAGGCTCCATCCTTCCATTGCATCCCAGAGCAAGGACCATCTCAGCAGCTTCAGTGTATGTGCCCTACCCCTCTGTGTGTGTGTGTGTGTGTGTGTGTCTTTCTCATTGTCTACCATTGCACCTCTCTTCTTAAATACGTTTTTGGTAGTTCTGAAGATCAAATCAGGGGCTTTGTGCATGCTACATAGCCCACCACTGAACTGGACCCCCAGATCTCATATTCAAGAATATGAACCTTTACAGGCTATTCTCTGGCTGTGTCTGCCCCTTTCACTCACTAGTGGTTTTTATGTTGTATTATTTTGCTGAGACTTACGATGCTCCAACATTCTCTTTACTCCCACTCTGACAGCTGCCTCTTGGCCTCACTTCTGATATGTGATCTATCACTGAACCCATTTTCTTTCAATACTTCAACTCTCAAAACTTTTAATATTGAGCTATGTACCTCCTCTTTTGCTCTGCTGCAAAAGTCCTTCCTAAGCAAAGTCAAATGTATGAATTCTTAGCTGTTACATCCAATCCCTAAACACTAGCAGGAAAACAAAGCAAAACAAAAGCCAAGTGTTGTGACTCACATCTATAATCCTAGCTACTCAGGAGGCCAAGATCTGAGGATCGTGGTTCAAAGCCAGCCAGGGAAGGAGAGTTCCTGATATTCTTGTCGCCAATTAAACACCAAAAAGCCAGTAGTGGAGCTTTGGTTCAAATGCTAAAATGCTAGCTTTGAGCACAAAAGCCCAGGGACAGCTCCTAGGCCCTGAGTTCAAGCTCCAGGACAAGAAATAGAGACAAAGAAAAGAAAAACAATCATAAAAGAAAAGAAAGAAAAAGAGAAGGAAAGAAAAAAATTTGTCAGCGATGATGGTGCAAAACCTATAATCTCACTGCTCTGGAAGCTGAAGCAGGAAGACTGTGAATTTGAGATCAGCCTGGATTGCATAGTGAAACCATGCTTCCAAAAAACAAGTTCTTAGCCAGGTACCAGTGGCTTGTGACTATAATCCTAGTTACTCAGGAGGTTGAGACTTGGAGGATCATAGTTTGAATGTAGCCTGGGTAGAAAAGTCCTGGGGAGTCCATCTCTAATTAACCAGCAAAATGCTGAACTATAAGTGTGGTTCAAGTGGTAAAGTGCCTGCTGTGAGCACACAAACCAAGCAAATAAGCCATAAGCATACACATACATATATACATACATACATACATACATACACACACACACACAAATACAATGACTATAGAAGCCTATGCCTGTGCACATTCATAGTATCCAGCCTCGATACTAGTGCCATCAAAGCCTTCTATAGATCCCTAAGCAAGTCTGCCTTCCATCCCCTAAAATGCTTGCTTCCAATTTCAGCATGTTCTCAAGACCCCCTACCCAACTTGCTTTTCCCCAGAACTCTGGTAGGTCACCAAAAACTGAAGTCATCAGACACGTACTCCTCAGCTTCTTCTGCCATCCTCCCTGCCCCCATAAACTTAGCAGCAGATGCACCCCACAATCACGGGGACAGTATTCTAGAAAAGGCAAGACCACCAACAAATGCCCTCTAGACCACCTTTCTCCTAGAGGATCATCCTTCTGTACCAGTCATCCTCAGAGTCTCCTCTCTGTAGCTCCTTTTCGTCAGTACAGAAACACAACCAAGCTTTTCTTGGTCAAGGTGCATTGTACTTATAAACTATTTTGTTGAATGGTAATCCCTTTGTGCAACTACTTTAAAAGTAATAAGACTACAATGAAAAACAACAACTACAAGATTGTTCTGCTGTCTCACCTCTTACCACAGGCAGATCTCTCTCCTTGTCTTCCCAGCCACAGCTACGGGAGGAGGAGTGCACATTTACTGACATGCTGCTCCCACGTGATCACCTCTGTGTCTGGTAACCTGCTCCCAGGATTCCAAAGTGCCAGCTCCTGCCAAGATCATCCTAACAACCAGTTGTAAAGAAGTTCTGTCCTGCAGCACTGGCTACTATTTGGTCCCTCTGCAATTCTCTCACCTGTTTCAATGATAGCACTTGATCACATGATTTAGAGAGAAGAGCATGAACTTTGGAGAAGGGATATCAGTCTATATCATGTACTGCTACCTTCCTCTAAACATGCCCAAGACTTCTTAACTTTCTCCAAATCTGTACTTCCTCTGATGTACCTAATTTCAAGGGAATGGCTCTGCTGTTCACACACTGGTTAACACTAGACTACTTACTTTTGTCCTTCATTCCTATCTCTGTATCACTCATTTAAAGGTCTTTGCATATCCCTCTCATCGCATCCTCCCCTCCTGACCCTACTGCTGGCACTTCTATTTTCACATGGGTTACTGAAAAACTTATTAACAGGAATCTCTCTGCCATACCTGTCCTTTTGATTTGTTTTTCCATGCTACAGCCAAAAATTGCTCTAAAACTCAGGTCTAAAGCTTTAAGGCCTTCAGGATCAGGCCTGTGAGTACTTGTCCAGCCTGTTTTCCCACCTTCCCTTGGCACACTTCATCATCCCACTGCGGGAACTATTCTCAGTTTTTTCCAGGTCCCGTACTCTGCCATCTTCCTCCAGGCCCTCAGTCATTGTTCCCTAAATCTCCCTTGCTGAACTCATTCACTTGGGTGGAACTTTCTCAGTTCTCACACTGCAGATATCACCTGCTCCAAGTACTGAGTTGTTCCAGGCATGGATTATCACCCTACATGATTCCATAACAAACTGTAGACACTTTTATCATTAAAGGTGTTATGATGTACATGCATTATGCCTATTTTTTTGCCAGTCTTGGGGCTTGAACTCAGGGCCTGGGCTCTGTCCTTGACCCTCTTTGTGTTCAAGGCCAGCACTCTACCACTTGAGCCACGGTGCCACTTCTGGCTTTTGTGAATATTTATTGGAGATAAGAAGCTCACAGAGTTTCCTGCTTGGGCTGGCTTCGAATCATGATCCTCAGATTTCATCCTCCTTAGTAGCTAGGATTACAGGCATGAGCCACTGATACCTGGCTTCATTATACCTATTTATGTGCCTTTCAGGTATCATGAACCTCTTTAAGAAGAGGATATATCTTATCAACATATTAAATATATTTCCCATACTAGTTACAGTAGTTTACAAAGTTGGTACTCAATAAACATTAGTTCAATTAATTGATGCACTCATTGTTAAGAAGATAATAGCATGACAAGTTCTGTGGCTCATGCCTATTATCATAGCTACTCTGGAGGCTGAGATCCATAGGATCAACTTTCAAAGCCAGATAAGACAGAAAAGTCCATGATATTCCAAAAAAGCAAGCAAAAATCAGGGCTGGAGGCATTATTCTTGTGGTAGAGTTCCAATGAAGTAAGGCCCTCCTTCAAACTCCATCCCTCCAAAAGATAAAAATACAATGATCAGCATTTCACCAGATGGACTGGGGGTACTATAGCAATTGTATCCTCCTACCTTCTTGTGGAACAAGAAAGACCAAATTAGTCCAGAGCTACTCTCAGACCTTGGCATAAAACTACTCTTTGAAAGCCAAACAAAACTGTGAACTACCAACCCAGTAAAAACAGCTTAGTGGTGAAAGACGTGTTGCCTGATTTATTGCTTCTTTCATCTGCAGGAGCTTCTGGTGATATTAGGTAGCAGCATTGCTATCATGGCTCTTAGATCAGTTATCTTTTGATAGTGATTGGCAACCTTCAAAACCATTGATGGAAAAAAACCTCCAAAGCTGCTGCCTGGCCCATCCCTGCCTCATCCAGACCTTCCTGGTTATCCTGATGTGAAGAAAATCCTCTAATGCTACGTAGCCCATAAAGAGATCACCAGAAAGGGAAGACTTGAAATACGGGATGTTTATCCAAGTAAACATTGATCTGAGGCCTTGCGTAGATTAGCTTTAGTATTTCCCTTTCTTCTTAATTAATAATGGTTGTATTTATAGGTCTGACACAGTGTTAAAGAAATAAGATGCTAGAATAAGAAATATGATCATATTTTCTCAAAAATGATTACTAATTCCAGTTTATAATGCCCACTTAAAAAGCCAGAATTGTCCATATAAAATTGCAAAATATTCAAGACAGGCAGAATGATAGAGTCAGCTCTAGCCCATCAGATTTTTATTGCTGTCTTTTCCAGGCCCTAGAATCCTCTGTGTCTGTGATGTGTAAATAATAGTACACAGTCGTTCCTTGGTTCTAGAACACTGTAGAGATACTCAAGTCCTTTCTCTAAAATGGATTAGTACTTGCAAAGAATCTACACACATACATTGGAATACTTTAGATGACTTCTAGGTTACTTATAACACGTAGTACATGTAAATGTTACGTAACTAGTTGTTATACTGTATTCACAGAGTAAAGATGAGAAAAATGTCTGTTCATGTTCAACATGGATGCAATGTTTTTCTGATGATTTTCACCTATGATTGGTTGACTCCTTGGGTGTGGAATCCACAGACACAAAGGGCCATCTAGATATCTGCTTCATATAGGTGGGCACTTACAAAAATGTCTCATAGGCAGTAAGTTTTCAAGATCTGAACCCAGCACCATAATGCCTACTTAGAAAAATCAGCTTGAGGTTCCAGTGAAATAATGTATTGAAATATTGGCATACATCAGGTAGTCAATAAATGGCTGGGATTCTTTGTTTAAAAAAAACAGCAGAAGTCAGTGGCAACTGATTTCACATTCATTTGAATATATGCCATCCCAGAACTGACAAAATGAGGTGTCGTTGAAGGAAGTTACACACAAGGAAGGAAATGGGGAAAAAGAAGAGGACTTACAAAGAAATCAGTAGACAGAAAAGACAGCCTTAGATACCAGTAAAAGGATGAGGCCAGTGTGCTTGCTTCAGGAACATTCTAGAATTATCTCAACTGTTTCCGTCATATATTTTCTGCAACTTATGATTGCACTTGGGAAAGTAATGCTCATTGAAAACAACCTTAAAATGCCTTCCATTTCTTTCATTCTTTCCGGTGAAATGTCCCAGTGAGGCTACCTGCTGCTCTTCCAGTTCTTCTAGATCCAAATATACCCCATATCACTAAGTGGAAATATTATAGGTGGAGTTAAAAGACTGGATAGTTTGCCTATACTTTGTAGAAAATTACCTCCTTGGTTCCCAGTAGAACTACCAGCAGACATTCATTGGAATAGAGTACTACAGTTTTACATTAATAATTTACAGGCTTTTATCTAACATTAACTCATGTACAGATTATTAAAGGTGTTAAAATGTAATTGGTTAATCAGTATTTGTTCAATCATTATTGTGATTTTTATTAAAATGAATATTTTGGGTATTATTTTTAAAAGTTGAGAGAATTGGTTGGCTAGTTTTCCTGAAAGTATTTTTAAGATAAAAGCTTCATAATGCCTTGAGAACCTTACATATATATATATATATATATATATATATATATATAGTTTGGTATAGGTTGTCACCTTTGAAAATCTTGTGTACTATAAAATACTGAGTAGAAGAAATTGTATAATTACAACCATGTAATTAAAAGTATTAAACAGCAAAAGAACCCAAACAAACAGTATGAGATAAAAATGAAGAAATAATTATTCAAAGATGCAGCTGACTGAGGGAAAGAGATGAACCTGGGCCTGGGGCTGAAATAAGAAAAAAAGAAGGGAAAACAAAGTTCTTAAGATGTTGAAGCAAAGGAGCAAGGCCTATGGAATGATTTGGAAAGATGAAGTGGAAACATAGACATTGATTACTTGATTTATTGGTTGATTGATTTATTTTAGAAAGTACTGTGGATCAAATTCAGAGTTTTGTACATGTGAGGCAAGTGTTTTACCTGTGACTGTCAAGACCTTGGCTGAGTGTGTTGACAGAAGCCTGTGGTTTTAGCTAAAAGTTGGTCTGAGATGACAAGAAACTAAGTATGGCATTCTGATCAAGAATTGGGCAGGAAGAAGTCTTGACAGGAATTATTTAAGGGCCGGGATCACTATAAAAGTCAGCTAACAAACCAGGAGTTGCATCTGTGAGGTGGAATGGTGGTGGGGAGAGAAGGGTCGTTCATCATTGTAATTGGCATGGAAGAGGATTTGGTTCCACAAGCCATGATGTGAATACCACATCTACAGACTTGTCACATTAAGCACATGGAACACTGACTGATGTGTGACTTGAAGATACTAAAAAATGCAGGAAAGGCCAGTCCCCTGGTGATAGAAAAAAGAAACACCCTACCTTCTCCCAGATAGGGGTGGTAATGAATAAACCTAGGCCACTTATGGGGAAAATCAGTGTCTTGCTCCATTATGACAATTGTCTATGTGGTCCCCTTGAACTTCTCTAGGATGATGGGGGAAATAAGTAAAGGAAAATACTTTTTACAGCATTTTTTGGTGGGGAGAGGGAAGAACAGGAATAGTAGAGAAGCAGAGGGAGAAGTAACAAGATGCCAATGTGGTGGCGCAGTTCTGTAATCCTATTACTTGGGAGGCTGAGGCAGGAGGATCTTAAATTCTGCTGTCTCAAAAAAAAATCTAAGGAATAAATGAGCAATTTATACTCCTACTACAATTTTGTATTTTACAAAATTAGTTACTATGTTTGGCCCTTTAATTTAGACATATATTGTTGTTATTTCCCTCTCTTCCACAGTATTAAATCTCATCAGAGAATTCATTCTCCAGCTTTTCTGTATTAGACACACTAACAAACACAGGGTTTTTACAATCAAAAGTAATTAGAAGTGCTGGGTGCCAATGGCTCATACCTTTAATTCTGGCTACTCAGGAGGCTGAGATCTGAGGATCATGGTTCGAAGTCAGTCTGTGCAGGAAAGTCCATGAGACTCTTACCTCCAATTAACCAGAAAAAAGCTGGATGTGGAGGATTAGCCTTGTACAAAAAAAAAAGCTCAGGGATAGGACCAAAGTCCTGATTTTAAGCCCCCGTACTGGCATGTTTGTGTGTGCACACACACACACAGAACACACAGTTAAAAAACAGTAATGCATATACTACTAATATACTTTCAAATGCAGACAGGTATTTCTCAAGAAGGCCTGGCTTCCATATTCCCTCTGATTAGGGAAGACACCCAAAAGGAGCTAAAATACCTACCAGCACACTCCTCCAGAGAGCATGGGGAGATCTCCGAGGACTTTCCAGGGCAGCCTGGTCTGGAGGAGGGGAAGGAAGTGAGACACACGCGCCGACGCTCTCGAACACCATCTCCACATGTGGCGCTACACTGACTCCATGGCTGCCACATTCCCCACGTTTCTGCAAGGACATAAGTCATGCTCTCAGTGCTAGCTCATTTGAGAATGACTCTTTAACGACATCCAAATGAAACAACAAAACTCAAATCTTCAGGTCTTTAAAAGTCCATAAGTAAAAACATTCCCAGAGAAGTAGAAAACTGGAAAGAGTGCTACTTTTAACTTTGAAACAAAGAAAAGCTGTAGGAGCTATAAAAATCTTAGCTTTCCTAGAACCCACCAGAGAGAGCTGAGGTTATAGGGCAAGCAACGAGCCTGAAGTATAAGGATAGACAAGATGCTCCAGTGTAAGAGGGAATGCAACATCTGCTCGCCTAGGATAGACTCCAGGACCCACCCACACAAGCTGGTGAGAAGAAGCCAGCTAAAAATGTAGTGAATTGCTAGAAGCTTAGTGAAGACCAGCATGAGAATACAACACCACTAGCAGGGATATAACAAGGGGAATTTGTACCCACACAGGCTCTTCTCTGGGGATCTCACCTGAAAGATTGAAGTCAAGTACAAGACTGAACAAAGCCTCTTTTATGGTACAAGTCAGACAGGAGAAGAGATATCACTGTGGAAACGGCACAAAACCTCACCCAGATCCTCCCTCCTGTCCTCTCTAAAGAATATTAGCCTCAACCATTGGGCAAAAGACAGCAAACTTTGTCAACCTTAAGAGCATCAGTTGGGACCACTACCTGCTGGAGCTGAAAATATCCAGGGTTCACACAATTTGAGATCTTCCACCACTGTGGTAGAACATCGACAAGGCTCCATCTCTGAGGCTCAGAGACACAGCACTTGCCTGAGATGAGGTTGAGCCAGCAAAAAAGAATGCTCTCCTCTTAGTCCATGCTAGCAAGTGACAACTTCAAATAACAGCAGACCAGTGCTGAGGAGAGGCAAGAGCTAGAGATGAAAGCAGGCTCAAGCCCAGAGCTGAAAGTGGAAGAGAAAAAAGCATGGAGGAAAAAAACCTTCTAGCAATGCAATGCCTGTCCTAAACCCAGAATAACTCTAGAAAATCCTGAAATCTATGATCCATTGAAGACAGCAACAGCAACAGGAAAACCCCAAACATGGCTAAATTCCTTATGATAGGAACCCAGTACCCACACTAAAGACCTAAAGGATATAGAAGCATACCTATTTCCAGGCATAAATTTTGTTTCCTCTGTTTCCACAATTCCAAACAAAATTTCTAACTTCAAATGATTATGAGATATACAAACTATCAAGAGACAAAGTGATCAATAGATCGACTGAGACTCAGATGTGACCCAGATATTAAATGGAATAGAGAGATAATTTAAAATAACTATGATATGTTAGAGATTGGGGAAAATGAGCATATTAAGACATATGAACAGATAGAAATTTGCATTAGAGTTATAAACCAGAGTCAAATGGAAATTTTATAACCTTTAAAAATCCATGAAATAAATGAAGAATGTGTTCCATAATCTTGTAATAGGTCAACACGTCTAAGGAAGCAAACAATGAATATGAGCATAGAAAGAAATCACCCCAACTAAAATTCACATACTACTATGAGTTCAGAATATTCCACAAGGATATGTTTAAAAAGACACCATTCTCATATCTGCCTCAGTGTTGGGATAATGTTTAGATCCTGAGTGCCTTTCCCAGATTAGTGCTAACTATAAAAGGACTTGAGGCTGGCTGATATCTCTTACGTCCACAAATTCTTTTGTCCTTCCAAGGCCCTTGTGAAATGCAAGCCCCTTGATCTTAAGCTTTCCAGCTTCTAGAGCTGTAAAAAAATAAATGTCTTGTGTTTCATAAATTACCCAGTCTCAAGCATTCTGTTACAATAGCACAAAATGGACTACAACAAAGACAGTGAAGGAAAAAGAGGAAATTAAAATATTAAAAAACACAAGACAAAAGGATATAGAACAACATGAAATAGTGTCTCATACATGAAGAAAAAAACTATAACAAAATTAATCTCTGAAAATACAGTGTCCAAAACTCTCCAAAATTAATGGAAGACATTATACACACAAGATACTATAAACAATCAAGCAGGATAACCAAAAAACTTAGACATACTATTTGTGATTCTTAAAAAAACAATCAAAAAATAAATTCAGAAAAATAGGTGACTTTAACTCAACCATGTAATGACTACATCAAATATAGGTAACATAAAAAGTACCAATTAAAAACAGATTATCAGATTGGATTTTAAAACACGTGGCCTAGACACTGATGACTCACACCCATAATCCTAGCTACTCAGAAGGCTGATCTCTAAGGAATCACTATTCAAAGACAGCCTTGGCAGACAAATTCAAGAGATTCTTTTTTTTGGGGGGGGGGTGGTTCCAGTTGAAGGGCCTGAACTCTGGGCCTGGGCGCTGTCCCTCAGCTCTTCAGCTCAAAGCTAGCGCTCTACCACTTGAGCCACAGTGCCACTTCCGGCTTTTTTCTTTTTGCTTATGTGGTGCTGAGGAATGGAACCCAGGGCCTCATGCATGCAAGGCAAGCCCTCTACCACTGAGCCACCTTCCCAGCCCTCAAGAGATTCTTATCACCAATTAACCAGCAAAAAAACTGGAAGCATGGCTCAAGTAGTAGAACACCAAAAAAGGTGAGTGTGCAGCAACCAAGTTCAAGCCCCAGTATTGGTATTCACTCACACACACACACACACACACACACACACACACACACACACACAAATAGCCCAACTATATGCAGTTTCTTTTTAACATCACTTTACATCTAATGTAGATAGATAGACAGACAGATAGATTAAAAGACAGAAGAAGATAGACCTTGTGAACATTCAAAAAGAATTGAGTAGCTATATTAATATCAAAATAGGCTGAGAACCAAAGATACTACTAGGGGTAAAGAGGTGTAGTATATAATGCTAAAGAAGTTGATTCAGTGAGGAGCTTTAACAATCCTAAACGTAGACCTACTAAACATAGAACATCAAAATACACACAAAGCTCTACCAAAAGAGCTTTCTTTGTTGTTGTTTGTTTTGGTGGCAGGCATTAAATGTAGGACCTCATGCATCCTAGGCAAGTACTCTACCACTGAGTTACACTCTTTAGCCAAAGCAGCCATTACTGACATTATTTATCAATGATAACTTTTCTTCTTAGCAAGTATGCAATCATCATCAAATAACATAATTGCTTTATTCCCTATAAAGAACTAGCCTGTGTCCATTCTCTCTCCACACACATCCAAGTCCCAAGACCTATCAGGTTCTGCCAACACTAGAAACCAAAGCATCCTCTGCATAAAAATTTCTCCTCATCTTTTATAGAAAAAACATAGAATGCAGCCAAAGGAATATAAAGCACTGCAAAACATAAGGGAAATGTGTAGGATAGATGTGGAGTCCAGAAAGCCAAATGGTGCAATCTCTGGAGTGAGTCATGGAATATGAGTTCTTCAGAGCAATTAAGTCTCGTAGGATTTTCACAAGAGTGGGAGAATTACAAGCAAGTATCCTGGACCAAAATCAACTGAGGTGTGGTAATGATGTTCCATGCAAAGGTCCAACTGAACACAATATTGGTTCTGTGTGTCTGGGATCATGCCACAGCTCCTCCTACAGCAGAACAATGTGTGGGCTTTGTCTGCAGAACTTCCTTGCTGCTCAGACATGAAGCCCCCAGTGCTTGAAAAGCTTTAAGAATCTCAGAGGAAAGTCTCTCTCAGCTAAAGTATTGGGATTTATTTTTGAAAAAACTTCCTGGAGAAACCACTACTGGGAAATCTAAGTAGAAAATTAAGTCAACATACATTTTCTCCTCTTGTGCTCATGTTTAAGACTACATAAAAAAGGAGAATTACAAAAGCTAGAATCCTCTTGTTATTCTTCTTGTACTTTTCTTTGACTTTATATAAACATTTCTTTAAATGGATAGTCACTTATTAAACTAAAATCAAAATTTCCTTTAATGGAGACCAGGAAAATAATCCATTTTTAAAAGTATGAATATGGGGAAAAGGTCTGGGGGGAAAAGTAAAAAATAAAAAGCATCAATATAGCCTGGTGTCAGTGGCTCACACCTATAATCCTAAACTGTTTAGGTGGCTAAGATCTGAGGATCCCAGTTTGAAACTAGCCCAGGCAGAAAAGTTCATGAGACTTTTATCTCCAATTAACCAGCAAAACGCCAGAAATACATCTGTGGCTCAATAAGTAGAATACTAGCCTTGAATGAAAAAGTTCAGAGACAGCACACAAACCCTGAGTTCAACCGCTAGTACCAGAAAGAAAGAAAGGCATGAATCTTGATTTTAAAAAATATCTAACTTAAAAATATCAAGTGTCCTTTATCTTTGAAAGTAAAATCATGAATCATGGGATATAAAACAATAGAAAATCCAAACATTTAAGTTAATTTTGTGTTCATTTCTAAATCAAATTAAATGGGAAATCACTCAAATAAGGCAATGACCAAATTTAGCCAAAAATTTTAAGAAAAAAAACCTTTTCACCATTTTATCTCTGAAAATCTCTGCCAATAACATAAGAGGAAAATAATTGGCAAATGGGAACCTGTTAGGTATCAATAGTTCATGAAGAACAAGGCGACAGATATTCCAAATAGTCTGTCTTCATGAAAGGAAGTCCATTATGTTTAGTCCTGCTTAGACATACATACATGTGTACACACTGCACAAAAAACCTGTTTGACTAGGCTAAATGCTTTTCAGACTGCAGGATATACAGGAACAAAAAAATGTTTCAGATTTCAAGACTCTGAAGGACTAAAGCCTATGAAACATTCCCATCTATAAGACATTTTCCTCAAAAGACCAAGACAACTAAACAAAATATGCTTATAAGAAAATTCCACACACACAGTGAGTAGTTAGAAGTACCAGAAGCAAAGGCATCTGGGATAAGCCATTCAGATGCTCTTTGTACTTATATTGAACAAATTATGCTTTCATTTGAGGTAGTAAACTCCCAATTGGTTATGGGTCTTCTAAAAGGGGTATGTGGGCAGCACA